TTACAAATCAGCTGTGTGTCTCAGTCCGTGTTTGCCAGGTCCTGACAGGTGCATTGAGCCACACTGCTCATCACCTTGAGCACACACACACATTGGGAGATCAGACAAAATCCACACTGGAGACCAGAGATGCAAAGTCCAGATTACCGCAGCTTAGAAATTCCAACAGACTCCAATCCTCATTACCGATCAGGAACCTTTCCAGCAGAATACCCAGGTACTTGAGGAACCAGCTCCAGTCTGTGCCTTGAAGAAATACACGCGCGACAGGCGGCAGCCAGTGTTTCACATGGAACACATGGAAAAGGATTTATCTTCTTTAGGGTTTAGGGTTTAGGGCTGAGGGTTGGGACAGAAACAAGACAAGCAGGGGCTAAAATTCAAAAGAGTTCACAATGCTTAGTTGTAGGGCTTAAGGTTTTGACAGCATTGGTAGCAGACGTTGCTTCTTAGACCTTTCTTGCTTTACACGTTTTTATCTGACAGGTTATTATAGTAATCCTGAGAGGAGAGGTATAAACAGGGCAAGCTGACAGTCAATCCTCCTCGATGTTGGAGTAATCAATGCTTATCAGGGTTCCTTCGGCCAGAAGGAAGGAAGCGTGGGTGAGTTCTATGATGTAATATTCTCGTGACTTGCCGGTGGAATAGGAACCGGACTGATGCTCCCCAGAATGGAAATGGAGCCAGGGCCATAAGGACCTGTTTTTAAAAAAAAAAAATTGAATAAACAAAATTCCAACAAATTATCATGTTAATAATTAAACAGCTGGTGGCTTTCCGAAGATGAGCCCCTTTCATTACAAGGAGATGAGGCGGCTCTGACATGGCAAACGCCGGACACACCCACTCGCTATCTGGGCATTCTAATGACGAAAGGAGGACTAGCACCCCAAATGGGCCCCTCCATGCTGGCCAAACAGATCAATAAAATTGGAAGGTGGGGCAATACCTTCACTTCCCTTATTGGTCGAGCGTTGGTCCTCAACACGTCAGTCTGTTCAATGATGTGGTACATAGCTTCCATTTGGACAATCCCCGACAACTCGGTTAAGGAACTGAACCGAAAAGCCAGATATTACCTGTGGACAGGTGACCCCAACAGAGACAAGTGCATATCCAAGATAGCCTGGCATTTTGTCACAAGGAGCCCACGAAATGGAGGGCTAGGAATTATTGACCCCGGAACAGAAACGAAAGCGCTGCAAATCAAATGGATCATCAAACTACTGATGAAACCAAACAACCCCTGGAACAAATTAGCTCTGGACAGTATCAGAGTCATAGCCCCAGTAACCTCTCCGAACGACATGTCAGGCCTCTTTTGGGTAATGAATAAAGAATGGGTGATAACTACAGGACGAAGGAATCGAACAAGGAATAGCAAATCAGAGGACTATCGTCCGCCCACGCCTTACTGGCCGGCTCTGCTTCGTTCGTGGAGAAAAATAATTCTTAACAAGACAAAGAGACCTAAATCCAAGGACGAAATACTAAGGCAACCCCTCTTCGGTAATGAATGGTTAACAAACGAGGCTGACAACCCACTCTTCCTCGAACAAAGATGGATGTCTTGGGTCAAGAATGGCATCTGGAAAGTAGATCACTTGTGGAAAAAGTACAAAAAAGACTGGATAACGGAACAAGAAATTAGTGCCCGACTGAAAGGTTGTCATGGACGAGGGATCAATCTCCAATATATTCTTAGTCGTATTCCACAGGAGTGGAACGACATCCTGGTAAAAGACGAACCCTGGAGTCCGGGCGATTGGGGTCTGATGATTCAAAACTTTATCCCCACTAGAGCCTATCAATTCTCCCATATGCAGCAAGGCTCATACACCAGTGCTACTTTCCTCTCCTTCCCGATCTCGTACACCAATACGGACATGCCAGCTATCTGGAACTGCGATGTAGAATCATCTGTATTAGACTCCTTCCTCCTCAGAAAAGTAAGAGTCCTAGGCACATGGCCAAAATCAATCTTCAGACCGGACACTGCTATCCGGTTCTTGGAGTTCGACCCTGCCGAATGGGCATGGAAGCCAAATATTACCAGTAACATCAAGACAAAAATCCCAATCCAGGATTATACAGTTAAACTTGGTTATAGACTGTCTCTGAAGACTAAAAACCCAAACCCCATCATCAAAAACAGATGGCGGAACCTCTTGGGACAGGAAGCAGACAAAATTACACAAATCCAATGGGAAAAATTCAAGCGTATCCGACCAGTTAAGATCAGAAGCTTACAATGGCTGATCGTCTATTCAGAATTGCTGGTAAACCAATGGCTGCACACCAGACGGAAAGCCACAGATCCTAACAGTTCGGAGCTATGTACAGTCGCTACAGAAGGCGTGGTAGAAGATGTAGTTCACTGTCTGGTGCTCTGCAAAGAGGCAACCGAATACTGGGCCAGAGCTTCTTCACTTTGGGATTCCCTCTTCTCATCCCCCTTCCCTGAACAACCCACCCAACTGCTCCTCTTGACTAACATCCCTGATATGGCACGAAAGGCAGAGAGGATTTGGTTCGAACTCATCAGGAAAGTGACCCTATGGATCATATGGAAAGAGAGATGCAGCAGATCAATTGAAGGGCAGTCCAATCCACAGGAGAAGGTGTGGATAGAAACCAGAACAATGATTCAAGCTGAGATTCTTTGCAGATGGCGGAAAGTCAGACAAGCCTGGGCAGAGGACGAAGAATAGCGAAAGAAGGAAAGACTGATTTTCCACAGGAGCTGGTTGATAGACGACAAGATTGTTGAGATACGAGAGGACCGCATTTGCTGGAAAGAGTGGCATAATTCAGTCCCGGAAAAGGGTCCTCAACAACAGACAACGCCAGAGCACAATCACATCTTGAGACTCTACGGAGGAGGGCAGTTCCATAGGAGCTCAGACGGTAGGGACTGAAGAGAGATGATAGGGTGAGAAAATACGAGGAAGAGGAAGTCAGGATTACAGCCCAGGACAGGTTCTTATAATGGCCTCGGGAGATGGAACAGCAGGTGACAAAACAGGAGTGGAAACGCGGCATAGGCCTAAAAAGAATACGGGCTGCATGAATATTAATGGGGGCCTCAGAGCAGGATCCTATAGCGAAGGACTGCCAATAAATGAAGTCTCGTCAACTCCCACTTTCGTTTTGGGGATCAACGTGCAAGGAGACCTAGTCCAAGAAACAGGAGTACGGGAGCAAGTTCGACCCAAACGATTGGGGAAAAGGGGCATGTTGTCTAAGGGTTTAGGTTTTTAGGTGGTAAGGGGGTGTACCAATGGAGGAAGGACTGATAAAATGAATCACGAGCAGGACATTGTAAGGGGACAGACACAGGTCGACAGGGACAATGATTGAGCTCTTTCTAGGGGACATATCATTATCTGGCAGATCTGCCCGCCAGGTCTGAGAGGAAAGAGAGGGTCAGGGCAAGCTGACAGTCAATCCTCCACTGAGGTGGAGCAATCAATACTGCCCAGGGGTCCTTTGGCCTGAACGGAAGGAAGCGTGTGTTCTGTCTCATGTATGTATATTTTGACTTGCCGGTGGAATAGGAACCGGACTGACTGAGGACGAAGAGGAGGAGGAGGAGGAGGAGGTAATGGTGGTGAAGGTGACGTGCACCGACGGAGAGCGGCTATGGAGGTATCGCTTTCAGACAATAGGATTGGAGCTAGCGTAATTTTCCCTGGGTTTTCACTTTACGACGAGGGAAGCGAAAAGGGGGATACGTTGACTGTATGCTAAGGAAGGGGAGATAAGGGGGGGGAGACGAAACTAAGGAGAGGAGGGAGGGAGGACGAGGAATAAGGGAGGGGAGGAAAAGAGGGAAGAAGAAGAGACAGAAGAAGGAGGTGACGAGACAAGAAGGAGAAGGAGGAGGAGAAGAGACAAAAGGAAAACAGCAGAGGAAGGCGGTGAAGGAAGTGGTAGAGTAGACARCAAAGGAGGACGAGGGAGGAGGGAAAAGAGAGCAGATATGGCTCTTTCCTATGTGGAGGCGSCACAGAGGGCAATGACTGAAAAGGAGAAATTGGACTTCCAACGAACGCGGGGGATTTCTAAAGGAGGACAATCATTACAATCATCACAGTCGGCTTCCGARACAGGGACAAACGCAAACACAAGGGGGCCCAAGCAGAGCACATTGGGGCAGAAAGCAATGAATTTCTTGATGGAAAAGACTAAAATTACGGCAAATAKCAAGGTAACCAAAGAGGTGATCAAGGGCGAAGGGGGAAAAGAAGAGGAGGTGGAGGTTTGGGAATATCCAGAARAAGATATCCAAACGYTGAATGAATTGTATGAGAGACATGCGGTGCTATTTAATTTTTCGGGACGAAGTAGGGAGCTCTCTCTTAATGAGAAAAGAAGGTGGGTGATGGACAGGCTCAGGGCGATGGAAAGTCTACCGRGGGGGGAGCCGGAGGTTTCTTATCACAAAAGGGGTAGGTTCTCGGTCATGATAGTCTGTGTGGACCCGACGTACGCACAACACCTGTTATCTATTGGGTCGCTGAAATGCAAGGGAGCGRTGGTGACCATCCAACCATGGAAGCCACCTCGGCCTCAGCAGGCGGAAACATCGAGACACAGACAGTCGATGATGAGGAATCATTTTTGGGTTCAATTTGACAATCTGTCGGAAGGGATGCACAAATTTGTGCAAAGGAGGTTGGAGGAGGAATTCCCCAATAATCCCATCATTGAATGGCTACCTGCTAATCCAGATTTTCTTGCTCCTAATCACGATTCACGAGTGGCATGTTTGGAGGTGAAATCAGGGGCGCCGCCRAAGTTTCCAGATCAATGGATCTTCAGGAAAAGCGGTCAGAGGATTAATATTTTCATATCAACTAAAACCAATCCTTTTTGTTTCAAGTGTAGAGGAAGAGGGCATCTGGGGAACTTTTGCCCACAGGGAGGAACGGCCACTAAACAGACTCCACTGAAGCAATCAATGTTGCAGGAATGTGAGACCAAACCGGGGGTTTGGTATATAAATGCACCACAATACAAAGGGTGGATTTTTTATGATAATTTGGAATCACCAAGATGGGTGTGGGTGCTGAACAAGGAACCAGCGGTCAAACCAGATATATATCCTCCATACGACAGCAGGTGGAGACAAACAGGAGCTAGGAGGATGGAGGATAAGGAAATTGGTTTTCTCACCAGACCAATGATTGACGACACGATGGTAGGGGATGATCAGCAAAGGATGAAGCTCATGCAGAGCCTCCACGAGATTGGGAAAAATGCAGAACTTGCATTTTTGGAAAAYTTGGAGGCTAGGAAGCAGCAAAAAGAGCAACAGGGGGGACAAGGGAGCAGCGTTGGATCTGACGAACAGGAGGAGCAGGGGGAGAGTATGGAATGTGGGGAAAATATCAAGGAACAGAGTCACTCATTGAAGAGAAAGGATTCCGAAGGTGAGAGTGAGAGGGGGAAAACGGAAGAACAAGAAGGCCAGTCCCAGAGAACGAAAAGGCAACAGACGGACAACATCATGGACAATGCAGAAGGGAGCAAGGCAGGGGGGAGATGGACAGCGGAATCGGAAAAGGAGATAACGCAGGGACAGGTAGGAACCGAAGGGGAAAGGGAAGGGAATCAACAAGGCACAGAGTCAGGGACCAGCACACAAGAGGGTCAACAAATCACAGAGCCAGGGACTAGCAGACAAGAGGGGGACACAGGGACCAGCAGGCAGGAGGGGGAATCCATAGATGAAGCTCAGGGAAAGAACAGGGCTGTGAAAAGAAAGGCCATGCAAAATGTGGAAAATATGATGGAGGAGGAAATACARCAAGCAGAGGAGGATCAGAAGGATTTTACACAAGACTYAGACAAAGGAGTATCGTCGTCGTCGTCRGARGAGGAGGACGAGGAGGAGGATGACACAATGCAGGAGGAAAATATGACGCTTGAACAATGGATCAGAGTGGTGGAACAATTGGAATGGGGAAGGACTATAGAGTGTGAAATCAGGCTTGAAATCAGGCTTGCGCATCACAAGCACTTGAGGAATTTGAGACAGGCAACTCAGGTGGAGGAGGACATTACCTCCGAAAATCGGTTTGAGCTGTTGAAAAGAGAGGGAGAGTTAAATGAATTCTATGCTGCTCAATATGCGAAGAAGGCACGCACAGTCAAGAATGACGTCCAGATTCATCATGAAGACTACGAGAGGATTTTCCAATGGCCAAAGACATACCGGGGCAAGAGTGAGAAGGGAGTCAGCAGGAAGCGTANTCAAGAATGACGTCCAGATTCATCATGAAGACTACGAGAGGATTTTCCAATGGCCAAAGACATACCGGGGCAAGAGTGAGAAGGGAGTCAGCAGGAAGCGTAAACTACAGAAGGAAGAGGATCAAACACGATGAAGGACGAAAATATGGAGCTGGGAGAGGAAACGATTAATCTCAAGGACATCGCTCAGGACAAGTTGAAAGAGATTGAAGCAGCAGCAAGATTGGAGGCAAAGAATGGAATGGGAAAAAGGGTTATATTACCCTGTCGCTGGAATAAGAAACATACAGATTGGGAAGTGGCAATTCATCGCTCGCTTCAACTCATCACGGCATCCAGCAATAGCTGTACAGGCAAAGGGCTGCAGAACATAATTGGGGAAGGAATATCGTCTCGGGCATATGTTTTAGGAGAAAAGGGGGATGAGGCGATGGAAGTTGGAGAGGCGGGGGGAGAAGAAGGGACGGTAGACTTCAGCCCAATTCTTATGCATATGGGGGAAAAGACGGAATTGAGGGAGGGCTTAATCTGGATGCCTTGGCAGGTGGTTGAAACAATCCCCTATGGGTTATTGGGGGGGGAAATGGCAGCAGAATGGGTAGCCTGTAGTGCGGCAGTGGCAGTCAAGGTGGATGCCTTTGGATGGTTGCCGGAGTTCTTGGAGAAAAGGATCAGTCCAAAGTCCACTGTGATAGACATAGAGTTAGGGGGTTCTTGAATATACAGTTTAAGGAAGAACTGAAGTAGAACACGGATAGTGGAAACGGATAAGATATGGAAGAGAGGGGGGAAGACAGACACTCTAAGAGAGTAAGAAGGGAGCAAAGTCAAATCCCTCCGGAAATTAAAATTATATCATGGAATGTTAATGGGTTGGCAGGGGTAATAGATAATCAACATAAGTGGCATAATATAATTAACTACACGACTTGGTATGATACCTCGCCACCGGACTTTGTATGTCTTTTGGAGACGCATCTCACTGGGACGACTGAGCATCAGCAAACAAAGAATAGAATATTGCAGAAGCTCCAAAGAGTTAAAGGGGCTTGGTGGGCGCCAGCAAGCACTCCTCATTCGGTGGGGGTGGTTATAATTCAAAATAGCAGATCGAAAGTAGCAGATAAAATAGTTCTTAATTACGTTACCATTGACGAAATTGAAGGTAGATGGGTGAAGGTTAATTTTGAGTTTCATGATGAGCCATTCATGTTGCTGGCTGTCTACTGCCCGATTGGATCCCACCAGAGGATGGGTTTTGTAGGGCAGTTGCAAGATATATTAGAGGAGGATAGACATATGGTGATAGCAGGTGATTGGAACGCAACACTAGAACCTAGAATAGATAGGTTAGCAGCAGGAGGGAGGCAATGGGAAGAGGGATTAGTGGAGGAAGCTCTACCAATTCATAGTATGATGACATGCAAGGATTTGGTTGATCCATACAGACTGTACTTCCCTGATGAAAGACAGTTTACATATCTAAAGTTGAACCGCAGTCAACATCTATCAGCATCAATAATAGATTACTTTTTGGCTTCTACAAGCATAGTTGGTATGATACATTCGGTGGGCATAGGGGATTTGCCGTACAAAGCAGCTTTGGATCATAAGCCTATTTTTCTGCACTTAGTTACAGACACGCAAGTTAAGAGAGGTAAGGGGTTCTATAAGCTAAATAATTCGCTCCTGCGTACGGTAGAAATGAGGCAGGCAGTGCTCCACGTGTGCCAGACACATGATCCAAATACAGAAACATTCCCACAATTACTCCTCGCACTCTCTAGAGCATCGTCGGTAGTGGCTAGACGATTGGCGGCTAGAAGAAAGGAAAGGGAACAGGAATTGCAGCAGGCGATTGGCGGCTAGAAGAATTATATGAAAGGATGTTGGACGCAGCAAGAGAGGAATTGGCGGAATGGCAACGTTGGAGATCTAGGGGTCTACAAATGAGAGCCAAGATTAGAGAATGGGAGGAAGGAGAAAGAATGACTAAATTCTTCTTCCGGAAAATAGTATCCAGGGGGAAAAATAACATCATTAATCAGCTTCAAGACCAGAACGGCCTCACTACAGATAGGGATGAGATGTTACAAGTGGCACTACAGTTTTACAGTAATCTGTATTCAACAAGGGAGCA